ATTGTTTAAGATTTTTGCAGCTAAGTTTGGATTATTTCATCAAAAAAATATATGTAGCTGACGCTTGTAAAGTGTTTATGTCGTTATGTATAAATTCCGTGGTATGAACCTTTTTTTAAATTGAATTATTAACATCCGCCTAAAACTTCGTGGATGAATCCATCTTATCGTAACCAACAATATTTTTTACCAATAAAATTCTCAGAAATGGGTCGTTTTATAATTAAATTATTAATTTAATGCAGTATTACAAACTCGTAAATACCCGTAGAAAAATATTGGGTGGTTTAGCCTACATAATCTCGTTATTTTAACGTGTCGGTAGTGGAGGTCTCACAAAACGGTCTAATATTCTGTGGGCCTCCCTTTTCCTGGATTTGGTGATTAAATTATCTTACGAATAAGTACCTAATAGACAATATTTTCCGATCTTCAGATTGAAAACGCCCCGTTTCGAAAACTTCGTAAATAAAAAGGTTGTCGCTTATGATGAGATGAAGCCAATTACGAAGTCTTAGGCAGATCTTATCTCTTAGCGTTTGAGACCCCTAATCGAGAAAACTGCTGAAATAATGGTTACCAAATGTCAACAACACCATCTACATGGTTCCCCGAAGAATTATATCAAAATGATGATAATATTATACTTTTACTGAACGCTGAGTAAATATCCATATTTATACTTGCAATGGTAATAAGAACTGATTTGCCAATAATAAACTATTCCAATTTAATTTTTATTAGTTGCTCGAACGTTTTAAGTACGTACTGTGATAGAGAACTTGTTCTACAAAATGAGAAGTAGTTTTAGTTTTTTCCTTATTTGCTTCCTTACAATACAGATAACAGTGAAGTTTGTGTTAGCTTGGAAAGCATAAAAAAAAATTCTGTCCTTAGTTCATTTACACTTCCATTTCGGTTTTTTATCTATCTACCGGTAGACAAATCCATGTGGCGAACATATTACATACTAAGTCGTTAATCGAAACATGGGTATTGATGAAGGCCAATTAGAGAAAATGCTAATTTTTTTTTTACTGTACAGTGTTTTATTGATCTTTTTTTTTTCTGTCTTCCCCTTCATCGCCCACAGGGACTCGAAAATATTTTATCCATTTATCTTCCATCTGGTTGCGAGGCATCGCGGTGATGTGCACACGCGTCAGCCAGCTCGACCACCAGACACCCTTTTGTGTTTTAATTAATTGTAACCTTTACAAGTATTAAATAATGCACTGTTTTCATAGAAAGCTGGCTTGAAAGTGAAAGGATCTTACCGCGGACTACCCTTTAATAATAGTTCTTATCAATAATAATATAAAGGCTCAGTGAACCCGAAGGTTCAATACCGATACGAACAATCGATGTCTACATTTCTCCATCCACCAGGCGCACTTTAAACTCAACCCCTCAAGATCAGCCTTAACGCAATCTTTCCATCTTACCCTCGGACGCTTACCAGTTGGCACAGCGCATATCACCTTTTTAGAAATTCTTTTGTTACTAATTCCAGCGACTTTACATCCCAATTTTATTCGCCTAGACTTACAAATCTGAATTATATTAACCCGGTACAATCCGCGCATTGTGTAACTACCTAAATTATCCAGTTGACTCCTTCTTCTTCGGTCCGAATATTCTGTGCAATACTTTCTTTTCAAAAACTTTAAGACGTGCTCAAATCTATACGTTTGTAGCCACGTTTCGTATCCGTAATGAACTGTATGAAGGATAATGGTTTTGTAAATTCAATTTTTTAAGTTTCGGGAAATGAGGCACGAGCTAAGTAGTAAGAAAAACAAATAGCATTTTCCGCCTTCGACCTAACTTTAATTTCCTCTTCAATTTCGATTATTTGTTTCAGTTGTCGTATACCATAGATACCTGAAATTCTCTACGCTCTCAAAAACTTTATCTTTTATATCGATATCACCGAAATTGTCGCTGTGTTTGCAGCTAACCGTATCTTTTGTCTAATCCGTATTTATTTCGAACCCCAGTTCATTCATCGACGTTGTTATAGTTAGTTTTATTGTTTCATTTTTTCTCCAATATCTGCCGAAAGGTTTTAACAAGCTGTATAATCATTAAAAAGTTTTATTTAACAGTTTGTCAAATCTGTATAAATTTGTTTTATTTTTCCTATACAATGCTTTATAAAACTGTTCAGCAACTGATAAAAGTTTGGGTTGTTACAAAAACAAAGCTATTTCGAAATTCATTTTTGAATATTTATTTCATTCATAAATAGAAGTTAAAATAACATATTATTCAATTTCAAGGATATAAGGGATGTTATGATCATGATGTAGAATTTTGTTTGTAATATAATGAGCAGTATTTACTATTGTATGAAAAACTTTAGACAGGAATGATTGGTTCGAAAATTTATTTGTCATCCACAGTTCAAATCCAGATGGATTTCATTATGGTCTTGTATATTAGTAGATAGTTAGATTTTCTGTTATGTAGTCTGTATAACTGGCCAAAACGTCGGTTAAGTTCTTGTCTTTTAAGTCTGGAATGTGGGTTCCATGTTAGTCATTTGTCTAAAAGGAATCCAAGATACCGAACTGGGAAGAGGTACTGACTTGAAAAGGATATGTGGACAGGATCTGCTTCGGAGGGTGACATGCTTGAATTTTGGTTCATTAATTTTGATGCGCCAATTGTTGCACCACTGCTCTATTAGGGAGATGTGTCTTTGTAGGTTTAGGGATGCTGTTTCAGGGTCTGGATGGGATGATAGAATGGCGGTATCGTCAGCAAATGTTGCTAGAAGGGTATCAGGATTGGAATATGATACGTTGAAATATGACAAAGGGAAAATTCGTCAAATTATTCACTAATTTAATTTTCGAAAAGGTTTCATGATGATTTTTCGAAATAAATGGACTACAGACACCTAATTATTTAAATATAACATCAGATCTAGAGTTATTAAACTATAGTAAACATATTTAAAGTTATAAACATATCTATGAAATATTTATATACTTCACTTCTTCTTTCTTATAGTATCTTACACTGTGTCATTATTACCTTGAATCAGTGTATTCTAAATACTTTATTAAACATTAAAAAATAATGTTAAAATTTACACTTAAGAAAATTAGAAGAAGTTAGAAAATTCCATTTAATTTCCATGAAAACACGTGATTTACGTTAAATAATGTTAGTTTTTAAAAATTATTATTTATATTTTTCGCCAATCTCCGTTACCTTCTACAATTTTCTATATTAGATATTGTTTTTGTTTTTTTAATTTTCCGGTTTTCAGCAATATATTATACGTATACCTTCTGACTATTATTTCCGGATATTCATCTACTGGTTAAGTATTTTTCCCTCATATTCAGTTATCAAATTCTTTTAAAAGTTATATTTAGCATTTTTTCATAAATCCTAAAAATTTGAAATAGTTATTATTAAATACTTAATGAATCAAATTAAATGTACTTTAGAGGACAGGAAGACATGATAATGTTGGGTTTTATTAGAATAAACGGACATTGATGCCTAATTATTTAAATATAGCAGATCTAGAATTATTAAATTACAGTAAATGCATTTAAGCATATGTTTATGCTTTTTACATCCATGGAATGATTTGATATTTCAATTCTTCTTTTACACAAATACAATGAAATAGTTTTTTAACATTTCATGACATTGCCTTGATCAGGTGGATTTTAAATATTTTTTTCAAAATTAAGAATATTTTAAAAGTTTATATTTAGTTAGTAAATTTCATTTAATTTTCTTGAAAACATGTGATTAACGTTAAATAATACTAGTTTTCAAAAATCATTATTTATATTTTTTTTCCGACACTCTGTTACCTTCTACATATATATTATTTGTTTCTAAATTACTTAGCTTTCCAACGATATATTATACATATACCTTCTGACTGGTATTTCCGCAGATTCGGTTTCGACCTGGGTAAGCATTTTTATTTTTTCCTCCTTTATTTAATTATCTAATTCTTTCAAAAGTTATATTTAGCAGTTTTTCGAACTCTTAATAATGTGAGATGAATAATTGCTTAAAATAAACTATATTAAATGTACTTTATAGGAAGACGTATATGAACATTGGGTTTAGAAGCCCTGTAAAGTGATATCGATAGGAATAAGACCTGATCGATATTAAATATCACTTAATTATACAATAATAAACAGAGTTTAATCAAAATCCTTTTGTGATAAAGTGCCGTTTGTGATAAAATTGTAACAATGTGGCATTTCCGGTTAGCCGATTAAAAGGAAAAAGTTGTCATATCTAAGGCACATAACTATCCTAAATATGTAATATCCGTTTCATACAAATTTTCATTTTTGAGCTAGACTGCTAACATACAAAGACACACTGACACACAGACCATTTTGGAGGACTTGGATATTTGAAATCAGGGTACCTCAAAACGTGTAGTTCCGGTGGAAAACTCAGATTCCAAAATTTTCTCGATCGCAATACTTTTCCTTGAAATATTTTACACATGTAAGTAAGTGAAAGTAAAAACGTATACATGAAAAATATAAATAGAATAAACATTTATGATGAAATAAATCTATTGAAAAAATATCTTTTGTTGATTTTACACAGTTATGCTACAATATTTTTATAGTAATATAATTGCATTCTATCATACTTTTTAGTGCACATGGTCATATTACAAATCGGTCAATCTGATACGAGAATGAAACATCGAATAGGAACGAAGGTGTAAGGGGCCATCCGGCATGCATTACTTGTCTCATACATGTAAAAATCTACCCGAATTCAATAGTCGCAATATTTCTCTACGTGGGAGCAACATATTAGAAGGAAATAGACGCGCCACCTCAAAAACCCTAAAGCCCCCTGACCTCATTTTCGAGGTAATAACGGCAATTTATGGCTTGGAACCATTGTGCACGTATTGGGTGGTGCTATTATCGAGAACAGAGAAATATTTAGTACACATTTAGCGATATACACAGCTTCTCGAACAGAGGCTACTCCATCAGTGCTGTCTTCCACAGGGGCGGATAGATATCCCCAGGGCACTTGGCGATTTCCATATCTGTGCCACTTCCTCGACGGGATGTAAATCTGGAGGGTCTTCGGGGATGTCTTGGCCGAAATGTTAGAACTCCCAGAGGGCGACAATACCTGGATAAGCCAGTGAACGACAACCCTTAGATGTCCAATGCAGCATTTCCAACGACTGACATAATCATTAAGTAATCTTCTAATTTTCCTCCATTTTATTAAAAATCATAAAATACTATAATATCATGATATATGCATATATATATATATATATATATATATATATATATATATATATATATATATATATATATATATATATTATTAATAGCAATTATAATATTTTATAGGACTAATTTATAAAAAACTCATTTTTAGAAAAAAGCAAGATTAAACCATCAACGTAAAAATATGTAAACGTTACATCACGGGTTTAATGAAAAAAACATTAAGAAACATTTTATAAAATCGATTTAATAATTAAATTGATACATTTCCTCTCTTTGTACTCAGAAGATTGTGCACTTGGTGCATCTAAGTTTCATGCCTACAAGGCCTGACGTTTTTCATATTTAAGTCCGAAATTAACAAAAAAAAAGGTGTAGCACCAATAAAAATGTACTTTGTGACCTTCTGAAATAAACCGACAATATATACATTATCCATACAATCGGTTTTAGGGTTGCCCAAAATCGGTCTTGGTCTTGCGCTTTGCAAGACCAAGATTGGCAAAAAAGAAATCGATTTTTTGAATCAAAATTAAGGCAAAATAGTTACTAATACTTGTCAATTTTAGTTACTATGTGTAAAAAATTGGTATAAGCAATATACTTTTGCATTTAACTCTTCCAATTTTTCATTCGAGGTTAGGTAGGCTTCCCCTGACTGAAAAATTACAGTAATATCTGTTTAGTAATAAGCAAATAGATAAATGCAAGACTGTATTGAAAATCTTGCTCAAGACCAAGCCTTAGTGTGCAAAGTAAGACTCTTCTTGGTCTCGCATTTGGGTAACACTAATAGTTTTTTTTAAAGAAATTATGATAGAAATGTACTAGCTGTCAGAGGCAATTAAACTCCAAAAAATTAATCAATGTAAATCCGATGCATCCGCCAAAAATAAATAGATGGGAGGCTAATATTAAGTTTCTTGTTTTATATTAGCTAATAAAAAAATGAAGCTATATGCATCGCTTTGATATTTTCAACATTAAACAACTCGTGTTTTTTTAGTTCATTATGCATTTAATTAATTTTCAGATCGGAACAATAAATTGAAGAAAAGAAAAATGAAATCAGACACTTTGACCAACAGGATTTCTTCTAGCCAAATAAAGATTAGAGAAACGAGAAATAAATTATACATAAATATAGTCATAATTATACTGACTGTGTCTTAAATACTTATAATCAGCACGAGACATTTTTTTCATTTCCTCATGAACACATTTTTATTTACTTTAAAGCCAAGCAAATGAAGAAACCCAGAACGAGTTGGGCTGATTTACCTGCATATTTAGAATAGTTTTACATTACTATTTTAAAAAGGTTTGTTTGATATAAACACAGACTTTACTCGGGGTCGGTGTGGGTAACTGGGTTAAGGCGTGTACAAAACACGTGTTACCCGATAACCAGACTCCAGGATGAATCCTTCGCCCTCTCCCCTGGTCCGGGAAAATCGGATGAAAGGTAGTGATATATGATAACGTGATATGCCCGTCATATCGATTTTGCTACAGACAGACGCAGAATCAAATTTGATTTTTGATATCTGAGAAGTAAAACGCGAGTGAAAATTTTGATTCTGAGCACATTTTTTTTAACCTCTCGCAGGAATACTATGCTTCCATACCTTCGGTAGTGAGGAAGCAAAAATATGAACTTGAGCACTACGGAGCACTACGGCATTCATCACTCCACAAGGGTTTCTCCAAATTAAACATAGATACTGCCGTTAGATAGTGTATGTTAATATTAGGTATATCTAATTTGTCTTAATTGATTTTTTTTTTATATTTTGCTTATCTTTAAGTTATTTCATTTTTACTTATTGTTAATATTTATAAATTTTTATGTAGCTAAAAAAATATGAACTTGAGCACTTGAACATTCATAACTCCTCAAGATTTTCCCAAAATTCAACATTAATACTACCGTTAAATAGTATACATATGTATATCTGTATTTTTCTAAACATTTTATATGTTTTACTTATCTTTAAGTTGTTCTATTTTTATTTATTATATACACTTTTTGATTATTCTTTATTTCTTATCTTTCTTCTGTTTATTTTATCTTTTCTGTACAGGTAATGTGTCTGTGGTCTTACCTATCTATAACTATTTCACAAGTGACAGAATATTATATTTCTTAATAAATAAATAAAAATATATACCATCCTTAGATAGCTCATTTATAGAGCTCTTCCAATAATTATTGAATTTCTTCATAAGAAAGAAATAACGAAATGCTTCAAAAAGGTTTTTATTATAGTATTGGTTCTAATTTGTTTACGGAGTTTGTGTTTATGTCATTTCGTGTAGTCAAGCTATAAATCTCAACAAAAAAAATATTTGAATCAGTGCAGTTCTTTTAAAGTTATCAAAATGTTAATATTATTAAAAAAAAAATTGGATTGGTCCAATGTAGACAAACATTTTTATTTTTCGATAGCTATGTAAATTAATATTTAAGGTTCAAAATACGAATTTAAACTTTTTTTTCTCTTTTAAACAAATATTTAGTCTCACATTTCAACGTCAGTTGGTACAACTTGTTTTAATATTTCACTTATTCTAGATATAGCTAAGTTGCAACTAAAATGCTAGGAAGTAAATAGGCCAATTTATTTCTGGAAATTTCAACAGTTATATCAATTTAAGTTACAAGAACTTACCCAAAATTTCCAACGTGTGCGTGATCTCTTGAGGTTGGAGCGTTGCTATTTGGCAAACATAGTCACCAGCGTCTTGTGTCTGGACGTCACGGATCTCGAGATTGTAGCCGTCTACGAGTCGGAACCTGTCGATTGGGGAAACCTTAACGCTGCCCGCGGTAATAATCGTGATTCCACGTTTCCATGCCTGCATGTAGTGACCTGAAACAATGCATAACATGAGTATTATATTACACTATATTTCACATAATAGATCAGATTACATTTTTAATATTATTAACATCTTTATAAATAAATACTTAAGGAGGATGACAATGTCATGAATGTCATTTATGTTGCTATGAAGTATGCCTACGTTTCGACGAAAGAATGTGGGTTGTCATAAGGGCTAAAAATAACGTCAGAAATATGAGGCAAGGATTGAAGTATATTTAAGTTATCGTTAAAGAATTGTCAGTTTTTTTAAACCTTTTTTTGATGATGTCAATATTACTAATTCTTCCTCTACAATATTGTTTATTAAAGCATTATGTAATCTCCTGTTTGTCAGGTTTCGATGAAGAAAGTTAGTTATTCCAAAATTGAAATTAAAATTGATTTCTTCAAAAACCACATACGTTATACTTTTGGAATGCGATAAAAGAGAAAATGCTGCTAGAACTTAACGGAAACTTGCAGAAACATGTTGAGAAAACGTTATTAGCGGAACGACAAGAGGTTAAGTCCTGGAGGTATACCGAGAACAGAAGCCAGAGAATAACTGCATCGGAAAAAGTAATGATGTCTGTTTCCTGGGATATGAAAGGAGCTCTTTATCGTGACTTCCTTGGTCTTTGCCAACCTACCACATAAGATCTCTAAGATGATCAGTTGGATCGATTGAAGCGGGAAATTGAGGGAAAACGTCCCTCACTTAAATAAGTTATAGTGATAAGTTATTGATACAAGCGAGACATTTTATTCCACCATGAAAATGCGAGATCCCATGTTGCAAAACAAACATTGCAAAAATTGAAGGATTTTAGACAGGAAATTATTCCTAACCTACTATATTCACATTAAGGTTATCACTAACACATTTTTCGTAGTATCCAAAATTTACTAAGCGGCAGGAAAATTAGTTGAGTCGATAAAATGAAATATATTTAAAAATTAAAATTATAGTTGTTTTTTTTCCCACTTGGTGTTCATATGTTCAAACCACAACTAGATCTACATTATGCAGCACACAATTCTCAAAGGGAAAAATATTATTTTTTCTTAATTTTTTTAGTTTTAGAAATGCAGTGGAATTGCGGCGCGAAAAGCAGTGGGATCACCTCGGGTCCTGCTTTCGCAACCAAATAAGTAGGACAAGATTGTTTTTAAGCTCCTCTTGCTTGTCGTAAATAGTGTGTTTCATTTTTATTTTCCACATATTATTTTATTAAAATTTTATTTATTTGTTTTCTATGAATATGTGTTCTTATGAATAATAACGGTAATTGAAATAAGTAAAAAAAAAAAAGAAAAAGTAAAAACAAATCTGAGATCCTGGGTTTCATATTGATTTGTCAATATAAATAGAATCATATTGAAGCTTAGTAATATTGAAAAAGAAAATTCATACTCCTAAATTTGAAAGGATTTTTTTTCAGGGTTAATCTTACATATACAAAAAAGTGACTAGAGTAAATAATAACATTTTACCCAATATTCAAATATGAAAACTTTGTTCGCGACCAAGGTATCGCATTTCTTGAGGATGATAAAGATATGAATACTTTAGAACTTTGTTAGGAAAGGAATCGACCAGAAATATCCCGGCCAACAATCTTATCTCAAAAAATCTAAATAAATGTTTTCTTTTTCTGTTGTAAACAAGGAATAAAGAATTGGGCGAATCAAAGTAACATAGTGTACTGATTTAAGACTACAGCCAGTAAGAGAAAATTCAAAGAGAAAATTTCGATTTAAAGTATTTAATAAAATACTTATTAAATTGTTATTTATTAGCTTTAGTTGTATTTTTTTTTTACATTTACTTTATCTGTTTGTTTTTTTCAAAGCAAACAAATAAATATATTAACCTAGTTTTATTAATTATTTAGGTGGTCTAGAATAGTGGTATTACAAATAAGACCCTACACCATGACCTTAACATCCCATTTGTCCTCGACATCATCCATCCAGATTCTCAAACTTTCACCAGAACCTTATCCATCATCCAAATCCTCTAGCTCAATCCCTATCCAGCTCCCACCATCCCTACAATCCCCCTCGAAGGTTAAAACGGCAGGGGACACGAGATCTATTATAAATATGCTTCTGGAGTCCTGGCAATGGCCAGCTTCTCCACTCAAGTCCTGAGCATCTGTGGCTCTAGTGGCCTCCTTCAGCCTCCACTGGCTTTTAATTCTAGTGATGCGGCTGGAAAAGTGGCACTGGGATCTCTTAAGTCCTGCTTTTTCCACATGTGGGGAGAAAAGCCTGGCTCGGAGATTCCTGGGCGAATGTATATATTGTATATAGATATGAATGTGTTTAGAAGTTTTTATTTTATTTTGATTGTTTATTTATTTTATTTATTTTATTTACTTATTTATTTTTTTCCTATTGATTTACATTGTTTTTATAAGTATTATTTATTTACTTTTTATATTTATAGTTACTTCTGTATTACTTGTATATACTGTATGAATGAGAACTTTTAGCCTTAATACTTATAGCCCTCCAACAGTGGCTGATTGTATTATTATTCAATAAAAAAAAAAAAAAAAAAAATAATAGTGGTTTCTTCTCTTGTGCGATACTTTCACGTAACAGCTGAAATATTACATGAGTACCATTTATACTGAATATTTCTAAAAAAATAGTCTGCAGGACAACCCAGGAGGAAACATTAGTAATTAAGAGACACATTTCGGAAAAGTAGTTCCGTACCACAAACCGCACTTTCTTATTAACTGCTGTCGAGATATAACTAAAAAAAAGAGGGTTTTGTCTTTTCTAGAATTATTCAAATTTCTTTAATATGACTACCCATTTGTTATAATATAAGTTTTAGATAAATAATTCCTACTTCAATTACTGAAAATTAATTCAGATTCTGCATACTACAGAAAATTCTCTTAAGAAAAAAAAAATCATAAGGTTGTACATTTTATGAACAAATGGTAATACAACGATTTTGAAAATAAAATATATCTATATTTGGTTGTTGTGAGAAAAATAAATGAATATTTACCAGTTGATAAATGTGGAAGTAAAAACTATAAGGAAGAGCATCGTGATATAGGTATAGTATATATTCGGGTGTATAAAAAAAATGACCGTTTTACCAAATTTCAAAAGATTTCAAAAGACTAAATATTTTAATACTTAATGATCCCTAAAGAACATTTTCTAAACTTGTTTCCATTTCCAAAGAATGGTATCAGCCTGGGATCAAACAATTGGCTAGAAGATGGCTAAAGGCGGTTGATAACAATGGACTATACATTGAGTATTAATTGTATATTATATCAAAGAAATAATAATACAAAAAACGGTGATTTTTTTAAACGTTGCATTATTTCCGAATCGGCAACAAAAAATAATGTTAAACCAAGTTTAAAGGTAATATGTTTGCCAGACAATAAAATGAGAAATGCTAAGATAAAACTGGTAAGCCATATTCTTCCCTTTTAAATAATCATAATATTTATTAAGATGAAACATCTCTCAAAAGAAGAGAAATTTACCCCCACCCTCCTTTCCTGCCAATTTCAAGCCGAATAACTCCTCAGCTCCCAGGTTTATAAACATTCCTGTTAGGATGCTTCAGTACTTTATTACATTGAATATCATCGGGAATTCCAATTCTGTTTTGATTAAATTTATTTCAATTAAATTATTTATATATATATATATATATATATATATATATATATATATATATATATATATATATATATATATATAAATTAATAAATTTATTAAAAAATAACACACCCAAGCACAATAAGTATTAGTGATAAAAGTACCTATTAATACTATATACTCCTGTCCAACAGTACACTTCAACTCCATTCAGCTTCCTTTCTCCGGTATCTTGGCTTTCTTTTGGACCGAAGACTAACATAGAACCCACATACTAGACTTAAAGGACAAGAACTCAACCGACAATACGGCCAACTATACAGAGGGAGAAACACTTTATTTTCATAAAATATAAAGGATTGATGCAGAATTATATTGGGTTGCTATATACACAGCATACTCTTCTATCCGTAGGACAATATTTGAACTTATACATAAATATACAGAAGTATTAGTTAATATTAGTAAAATATATATATATACATTTTTATTATTTTTTTCTTTTTACTTACTAAATAGAAAATCTAAACTTTCTATTGAAAACAAATTACATATCTACAAAACAATGTAAACAAACGGACTTCAACTGTTGGTGACAGCAAAATTTTCTAACATCAAACAAATTCAATCCTTTCAATCTTAAGTCCTTCGAACAATAGTTGATGCTTCATTCTATGGAACCAACAAAACCCAACAGCATGACCTTAATATCCCATTTGTCTCAGACCTTATCCCAGAAAAATTCTCCAAATTTCACCAGAACCTAACCCATCATCCAAATCCCCTTGCACAATCCCTATCCATCACCACACATACCTACAATCCTCCTCGTAGGTTGAAGAAGCAGTGGCCTAGAGACCTTTGTGAATCAGTAAATATTGGAGTTTTGGCCATGGCCAGATTCTCTACTCAAGCCATGTACGTGTGGTAATAGCACCTGTACTGGTATTTAATACCAGTAATGCGGCTGAGTGAGGGGCGCTGGGATCTTCTAGAGTCCTGCCTTTCCTTACACGTGTGGGAGAAAGGCTTGACTCGGAGATCTTGAGTGAATGCTTTTTTTTTTTTTAGATATTGTAGAAGCATGTAGGTATTCGGGTAGTTATTTTCATTAGCTTAGTTTCTTTTTGTTTAGTTTAGTTTATATAGATTTATTTTTAGGATTATTATTTTGCTGTATTATTTATTTCTATTTATCGTGAATGTACTCTTTGAACAATATTATAAATGTCCTTAATTGTGAAAGATTGTAATAGCTCTAAATATATATGTTAAAATACCATATAAACATACATGACAAATAAAGTCATTAAGATCAAATTGAATAAAAAAATAAATAAAATGAATCATATAAAGCAAAA